AAGAGTTAAATGCTTAACTGATTGAATCACCCAGGCACCCCATATCAATAAGAGACTCTTATTGATAGAGAACAAACTACAGGTTGATGGAAGAAGGGTGAGCAGTGGGCTAAATGGGTAATGGGCATTAAAGAGGGCACTTGTTGGGATGAGCACTGGGTGTTGTGTAAGAGATGAATCGCTGAATTCTACTCCTGAAACCAATATTGCACTGTATGTTAACTAAAATTTAAATTAAAAAAAGAAAAAAAACCAATAAAATGTCACATTTATGACATTTTCATGTTTCATATTTCTTAATTGCACTTATCACTGAGAGATCATATATTACATATTTTTTATTTATCTGCCTTTTCTAGAATATAAACTGCAGAGGAGCAAGGAACTTTATCCTGCAAGTCTGAAATGATACCAGGCACATGGTACATGTAAATATATTTTGAATGAATAAATGAGGCTTAAATTATTATTCAAATTTTGCTCACTTTCATTAGTAGTTTTTAATGGTCTTGGTGGTTTACACATCCATATTTATTTATTTACTTAACAGGCATTTATTTTATTTTATTTTTAAATGTTTTATTTATTTTTGGGAGAGAGAGAGAGTGTGTGAGCAGGGGAGGGGCAGAAAGAGAGGGGGACAGAAGATCCTAAGCAGGCCCTTCGTGGCAGCTGAGAGCCAATGCAGGGCTTGAACCCACGAGCCGTGAGATCATGACCTGATCTGAAGTCAGACACTTAGCCAACTGCGCACCTAGGTGCCCCTATCACGCATTTATTTTATACTGACCGTGAGCTAGAGATGGGGGTGGGGAAAATGTGTTTCTAATCTTACAGAGGAGTTAGACAAATGCACAAGTAATACAAAGGCATGAATAAGTGGGAAAGGGCAAGAAATGTTGAATATAAGGCATAGCCAGGTCTGAGTTTGTGATGAGTTTCACTTAAGTCTTATCAGAAGGATCTCAGAGACCTGGAGCAAGCTCTGCTATGGCCCAAATGCAGAAACAGAGAGTCATTCCACCATAGGCCTTGAGGAAGTGACTTAGGACTTGGCTGAATCTCCATTTCTCCTTCTATCTTATGAGGTACTTTCAATAATTCATTAGAAAGTAACGAGATAGAGTTTTATAAACTCTATAAACTCTTGTTATGCTAACAAGAGGGATTTAAGTCTGCTCCTGAAACATGGTTGTTAGTTGTTTATCCCCTGGGTCTGAAGTCAAACCACTCAACAAGATACAAAGTTCACTTTAAAATCTTACTGCAATGATATCATCAGAATTAATTCAGAGTCCTGCGACAAGACAGCAAGACAGATGGTGGCACCAGCTTTTAAATATCATCTCAGAAGCTAGGAAGGCAGGGATGTTTAGCAACCTGTGAACTGACAAACAAGGAATTCATATAAAGAGGCACAGTAAAATGAAAGAAACAATTACTTAGGGGTCTGAAGATCTCACCCTTAGTCTGGTTCTGCTTTTTACTAGTTATATAACCTTGGGGAAGTTGTTAAACTGTTTCCTCATCTGGAAAATTGGGACAGTAATAGCTCACACTGTTCTTATAAAGATCAAAAACATAATACATGGTTTTAAGATTATTGTCTCTAGAGTGAAATATACCACAAAAGACTCTTAACTATAGAGGGTTGATGGAGGGAGATAGGTGGGGGGTGGGCTAAATGGGTGATGGGTGTTAAGGAGGGCACTTGCTGAGATGAGCATTTGGCGTTGCATGTAAGTGATCAATAACTGAATTCTACTCATGAAACTTAAAAAAAAAGTCTCTAAATCCATTCTCTACACTAAAAAGATCAAGGACTCCTTGGAGAAATGGTTGATTCCAGGTCTGGGGCATAGAGTGTACATGATGAGCCTGGATGGACATCTTGGTTTACCAGAAAACAAGGGCATTCTCCATGACTACTAGGTTAATGCCAAAAGAACACAGGAATCACAGGAAGGAGCTCCCACTGGCCAAAGATGGAACAATTTGAGAAATAAAAAATAATAAAAATGAAGTTGATCAAACACATTGACTGTGTTTTTATAAGATTCATGAGTTTGGGGCACCTGGGTGGCTCAGTCGGTTAAGCATCCAACCTCGGCTCAGGTCATGATCTCACCATGGCTTGCGGATTTGAGCCCCACATTGGGCTCTGTGCTGACAGCTCAAAGCCTGGAGCCTGCTTCAGATTTTGTGTCTCCCTCTCTCTGCCCCTCCCCCACTCACAGTGTGTGTGTGTGTGTGTGTGTGTGTGTGTGTGTGTGTGTGTGTGTGTCTCAAAAGTAAATAAACATTTTAAAAAAAAAGATTCATGAGTTTATTCTCAAGAGAAAAAAAACATAGAGTCCATTAGCATCCTGAAAATCCATCTTTAAAAGGGAATTATGGGTACCTGTCTGGCTCAGTTGGAAGAGCATGTGACTCTTAATCTTGGGGTCATGGGTTTGAGCCCCACAATGAGTGTAGAGATTAAATAAATAAATAAATAAATAAATAAATAAATAAATAAATAAACTTTTAAAAAAATAAAAGAGAATTAAACATTTGTTTTGCCTTTCTTGTCAAAATATATTTCAGGGTAACCAAATAGCTTAAGTCCATGAGAGAAAGACACCTAGCAAATAAATGTGGAAGAAATGATTGAATTATAAAATTATCATCTCATAGCCCCTAGTGAAATAATAGCAAATGAACATAATAGCAAATAAAGTAATGAACTATGGATGAAATCATTGGATAAAAGTTTATGTGGAACTTGACAATTTCAGGGAAAGATTGTTACCATATGAGCCCACTGATCAGTCACAGCATCACTAAAGTTGGGACAATGAACTATTGTGGATCTCCTGTTGTGATACCAACACACATTACTTCCTAGGAACTTTTTCTTGCCCCCCAAATGGAATCTGAATATAAACAAACTTCTAGATTCAACCTCAATTTACAGGAAATATGGAAGAGAGAGGAACAAGTTAAATGACACCACAAAGAAGCAGACACATCCACAAAGTGGGACATTTTATAGGATAACTGACCCAAATTCTTCAACAAGTCAATGTCAGGGGAAAATGAAAAGGACAGGAAGACTGCCCTAGAATACGAGACTTCCAAGCAAACTTCATGTATAGATTTTGTATGTATTCTGAGGTCTTTTAGACAATCAGAGTAATTTGATTCTGGACTGCGTATTAGATAAAAACAGGACCAGTTGATTTTGTCAGGTGTGAAAATAACACTGAAGTTTATGTAAGAAAGGAGTCTAGTTTTTTAGAGCTGTATACTGAGAAATATAGAAGTAAAATGACATAAGATCTGCAGCAGAGGAAAACAAAGGGATATATAAAGCAAATATGACAAGGGGCACCTGGGTGGCTTGGTCAGTTAAGCGTCTGACTCTTGATTTTGGCTCAGGTCATGATCTCAAGATTGGTGAGTTCAAGTCTGCAGCGGGCTCTCACTGACCGAATGGAGCTGGCTTCGGATTCTCTCTCTTCCTCTCTGTCTCTCAAAATAAATAAACTTTTTTAAAAATGTGACAGGTCTTGACAATTGTTCAATCCGTGTGATGGGATATGGGAGTTCACTGTTCTATTCTTTGCACTTTTAAGAATATCTTAGTATTTTCGTAACACAAAATCTAAAGTTTTTTTTAAGATCATGTATGGGGGAGTAGTAAAAGGATAAATATTAGTTTCTTTCCCAACAGCAAATGTAAGACACGTGGGTGGAAGAGAAAAATCCCCTCGGTGTTTTATTAAAAACACTCTCCTGGGACTTGTTCATTTAAAGAACCACCAAAATTGCCCTGAGAGCGTGGTATGTAGGCCACGCCCCACCAGGGATACGACTTCAGAGTGCGGAAGAAAAAATTCAAATGGGCAACAAACAGCAAGATCAAATATCTGGGAAGCACCCCCCCCCCCCGCCAACTTTTTTTTTAAGTAGGGTATTATTTTGATCTATTAAAAAGAAAATCCCCGGGGATAGCTGCAATTTTTGTGGGAAGACAATTATCTGGGCTACTTAAAGGCGTTCTTCGCAACAACTCCCTGAGAGAAGCTTTTAGAGACACACTAATTAGGTAATTAGACCTGGGAGTCGTCCCGGAGTGTAATGACTCCCGCTCCGCGGTGCAGCGGCGCCCCTCCGCTAAGAGGCCGAAGTGGCCTTTTCCGGTGCAGTAACCCTGACGGATTCCTCTCTCCTTCGCCCCTCTCCTGGAGAACCCTTCCCCGCCCAGGGGATCCCAGCGCAATGTGCACTGACTGGCCGGACCCTCGGCTCGCGCTAAATACCCAGCACCGCCACTCCCTACTCCCGGCTCTCACCCCAAATTGACGGCGCGAGGTTACCTCGTGTACTGTAGCCTAACTGCGGCACTTGAGTAACCGCGGATAATCCGAAATCGCGTGCAGTTCCGGGTCTTATAGCAAGCAGCGTGCCTTTTGCTTTAATAATCCTTCGCTTAAAGCAATTAATTCACACTCCTTATCAAAAACGGGTACGGTGGAAAAGAAAAACAGCTAATGTATATATGGCCCTTCGAGCCATAAATACTTTCAACATTTTGATGAGTTTCCTTTCAATCTTTAATATAGACAGATCTTTAAAAAATACGCTACTGGGATACCAGAGATATTTCTTCAAAAGTGAATCTTTCACTTTACATTATTACTGAGCACTTTCTGATGTCATCAAACAGCCTAACAAAATGTTTACTGCTGATGAAAGTCCTCGAGAGGAACACACATTTTATTTAAGACACTTGTAGTTTTGACACTTGTAGTTTTTCATTCTTGACCGACATAAAATGTTCTGTCGGATTTTGCCAAATGCCCCTGTCGCCGCGGCGGCGCACAGACCCAGATAGACGAAGTGGTCACTGTGGCGGGGGCTGGAAAGCAGAAGGCCACGCGCGACCACTTCCCGGCTCTGTTAGGTCATCAATAAGCTCCGCCCCCGCAGGCACAGCCAATCGAAACGCGGGGCGGGGTCTCCCAGAAGCGCGCGCGTGCGCCGGCCGGCGGCCATGGGGGACGACAAGATGTGCCCGGCGTTTCTCAACGCCCGGGCTCGGGTCCCGCAGCCTCCAGCCGAGGCGTGGCCGCCCGTGAGCTCCGAGGACGAGCTCTACGATTGCCTGGATTATTACTACCTGCGCGACTTCCCGGTCTGCGGGGCCGGACGCAGCAAGGGCCGGACGCGGCGCGAGCGGGAACTGCGCACCAACTGGCCAGTGCCCGGAGGCCACGAGCGCAAGATCGCGCAGAAGCTCCTCAACGGTCAGCGCAAGCGTCGCCAGCGCCAGCTGCAGCCCCGGGCGCGCACTCGCCTCGCCTGAGCACAGGTGCGTGCGGGCTGCACCTGGCCAGGACTCTGGGAAGCCCCGTGAGCGCCCTGGCCACCCGGTGCCTCTCGCGTCCGCCCTCTGTGACTGCACCCGGGCAGAGTCGCCTCCTTCCGAGGCTGCTTCGCGTTAGCGAGTCGTAGCTGGACCCCCAAAACACCCACCTGATCTCTTGGCTGCAATTAGAATAGTGTAAAACTCTACCTTTTGGAATTTTATAGTTGGGAGAAGAAGGGTCTAGGAAACGCAGAAACATGTTAAAAATATAAGAATTTACTTCCAGTGCGTATGCATGGGCTAAAGACAATAATTTATTTCTTTTTTGTCAGTTTTCTGCAGGATACCCGAAGGCCCTGATAGAAGTATTTTCTCTGACTCCAGCTGTAACTGTGGTCGTAATAACTTCTTTCCGACATCACTTAAGTTTACCGCTCCAGTATCTTTTCCTTACTGATTGTTAATTAAGTAACATCCAAGTGTCCAAGTGGGTATGCCTTTTTAGGGTTTTTAATTAAAAGCAAGAATGGCATTTTAACTCTTCTGGGTTTTTTTTTTTTTTTTTTTAGTTGCTACGGTAACTCGTTTCAAATATACAAATATTTGAGTTCATCTTAATGTGTAATAGGGGGAGAACAAAGAGAGCAATGTGTGCAAGATTTCAACCCCCGTGTCATAGATGCAGTGTGCAGGTTTAATATTTGTTTGCCAGAATAGGAATATTTTAAGTTGTAAGAGTGTGTACTGAACAGTTGCTAGATTCTCCGCACTGCTGATCCCACAACAGTCCTTTCAAGTGGACGCTGCTGTCTCCCATTTTGTAGAGGGGATTCTGAGGCAAAGGAGTTCAAATCACTCTTCAGAGGTCATGCAGCTGGTTACAAAGAAGACCAGGTATAGCAGATACTCAAAAGCCTTCATTCATTCCACCATCACAGTTTTCCTCTATTGTACACAATATTCTGTGGTGCAGTACCACCCACAAACTTCGCTCCAACGATGAGAGTTGAGATGTGGTTTAAAAAGTATGCAGAATACATCAGGGTGGTTGTCTTTCTCTTCAGTCTGCATTCCTCAGGCCTCTGCACCCAATGGTGAGTCCTTGGTTAGGAGAGAAGGATGGTGCGTACTGGAAGGAGCAACCTGAATTTTAATCTTCTGGCTGTTCATCGCTGTGGCATTCAGCACGCTTCTGAGGTAACTACTTTCAAGTTAACACCAAGCCTCGAGTTTCTCATTTGTGAAATGGAATGATACTGGATTACCTTACCACACTGGATTATAGATTAAATATATAAAACATCTCACACAAGTATGTAAGAGGTACTCAAGAAATAGTAACTATTTTTAAGTTTACAAAACAGAATCCTTTCTCCTTCCTCTCTGGTCAGTCTTCAATTCTTTCATTCACTACATTCATTCTTTTAAAATGTCTCCATGGGGGGCGCCTGGGTGGCGCAGTCGGTTAAGCGTCCGACTTCAGCCAGGTCACGATCTCGCGGTGCGTGAGTTCGAGCCCCGCGTCGGGCTCTGGGCTGATGGCTCAGAGCCTGGAGCCTGTTTCCGATTCTGTGTCTCCCTCTCTCTCTGCCCCTCCCCCGTTCATGCTCTGTCTCTCTCTGTCCCAAAAATAAATAAACGTTGAAAAAAAAATTAAAAAAAATAAAAATAAAATGTCTCCAGATGGTGTGCTGTAATAGGAATTCTGGCTTTGGAGTCAAACACCTGTGTGAACTTGGGCAAATTGCTTAAACTCCAAGTATCTGTTTCCTTATCCACAAGATGGGGATAAAACAGTACTTACTTAAAGAGTTCTTGTGAGGTGTGGGGTGCCTGGGTGGCTCGATGGGTTAGGGTCTGACTTTTGGTTTTGGCTCAGGTCATGATCTCATGATTCATGGGTTTGGGCCTGTGTTGGTCTCTGCAGTGTCACTGCTTGGGATGCTCTCTGTCTGCCCCTCCCTCATGTTCCCTTTCCTGTCTCTAAATAAATAAACTTTAAGAAATAGTTTTTGTGAGGTGTAAATAAAATAATACATGTAAAGCTCTTAGTGCCTGGTATACAAAGACACTCACATGATTGTTGTATATGTGCTGCCTGAGTGAGCATGGCACTCACATCATTAGTAGTATTCCCATTGTCACCGTCTTAGCCTTCGATTTTTTTTTCCTTACCCCTATTCTGCTGTGTCTCACGCACCATATGCAGATTAATCTTCCAAAGACCATTTTATTTATTTTCAAAAAAAAAATTTTAAATATTTCTGAGACAGAGCATGAGTGGGGGAGGGGCAGAGAGAGAGGGAGACATAGAATCTGAAGGAGGCTCCAGGCTCTGAGCTGTCAGCACAGAGCCCGATGCAGGGCTCGAACTCAGACTGAGATCATGACTAGAGCTGAAGTCGGACACCCAACCGACTGAGCCACCCAGGCACCCCTCCAAAGACCATTTTAAATATATAAAAACCCTCAATGACTGCTCTAATCCTGTAGGATAAAAAGCCTAGATTCCTTATATTGTCCTGGAAGTCATCTCTTGGATTTTCTTAAATTTTGTACCACAACTTCCAAAAACATACTCTGGATCTTGACACAGATCTTCTGTCCTCCATATTTGATTCTGCTTTGTTTCAATCTGTGCTGTCCTACTTACCATGCCCTTTTCCCCTTTGTAATTTTAATCTAAAACAAATTCCACCTGTACTTAATTTTAAGTGCCACTTTCTCCCTGAATCTTTCATCCACAGTGAATAGCCATTCCTTTGAAATCCTTAGAACTTCATAACCACTTAACCTCCTAACCACTTGTTTATATAGTATTTTGTATTTTTAGATCAACAGTTAAAAATTCAGTAACTGGTTCATTCTTTTTTTGTCTGGTATGTGCAAGGCACTGTAATCATATGCCTTTGTTAGCCAAAGGAAAAACTACATTTAGAGTGTAAGGACCTTAATGTCTTAAACATCTCGGTTCCTACACAATTCTTGCTGTAAAGTACAGCATACCCAGACAGACACAAGCCATGTTAAAGCAACACTCTATTAGATGTTCTAACTAGATTTTGCTCACCTTAGGTACTAGAACCTTTACAGTTTAAATATAGTAGCTGTAGAAATTGTGTATTAGTTACCTATTGCTGTGTAATTACTCAAAAACTTAGTGACTTAAAGCAACATATCTCAGTTTCTGGGATTGCAGAATTCAGAAGTGGCTAACAAGGTGGTTCTAGCTTAGGGTCATGAGGTTGGAGAGTAATTAGGCTCCACTTTTTGAAGGGAGTGTCTAAGAATCTGTGGATGTATTTTAAACCACCATGGTATGTTTAATTAGTTTAAGGATGTTCATTTTATTTTTTTATTTAAAAAAAAATTTTTTTTTTCAACGTTTATTTATTTTTGGGACAGAGAGAGACACAGCATGAACGGGGGAGGGGCAGAGAGAGAGGGAGACACAGAATCGGAAACAGGCTCCAGGCTCTGAGCCATCAGCCCAGAGCCTGACGCGGGGCTCGAACTCACGGACCGCGAGATCGTGACCTGGCTGAAGTCAGAGGCTTAACGCCACCCAGGCGCCTCTAGGATGTTCATTTTAGACAAATTGGAAAATATGACCAAACAAACAAAAAAAAGGAAATCACTACCCAGTGGATAACATCACTACTTGAGTGTACATAACTCCAGCCTTTAAAAATACATGAACTTTCTCAATATAAACCTACTATGTATACTACTTTGTAATTGTTCTTTCCCTTGATACACTATGAAGATACTTTTCATGTCAGATATTCTTTCATGATACTTTAAATAGCTGCATAGCATTTCATGTGTATATATCATAACTTTATTTCTGTATTGTAGGATACTTATTAGTTTTCCCTACTTTATGGAATTTGTTAAATAAACATCTTTATAGCTAATTTCTTTCCACATTCATGAGTGTTTCTTGAATTCCTGGATTTCTGTGGAATTTCTGGAACAGATGTGCATAATTTTAAAACTTCTGGTATCTACAGCCTAATTTGGGTAAAATTTTATTGTAGTCATCAGGAGTCCATTCATCCAAATGTCAGTATCAAATATCTGTAACAATGCCTGCAAGAATTCTTTGTTCAAATTTTGATCACTGTGAATTTGTTGAGAATGACTGAAATCACTATGGAATGAGAAGTTGTTACATACATTTTACTGAAGAGGGAACTTCAGCATATTTATCCTGGCCAACTACAAATGATATGTAGCAGAATTCTGAAATTTTTTTTCAATTCCTGTTTTTATTTTAATTTTTACATGTTCTTAATCTGTTTTTGAGTAGAGGTAATATATTAACTGTTTCAGAATCCAAAACATAGGAAATGTTTTCAGTAAAAGTCCCACCTTGTGCTACAGCCACCCAGTCCTACTTCCTGAAGGCAACTAACAGTGTTTAGTGTTAGCAGTGTTAACAGCTGCAGATAGTTTGTGCATATTAATAGTCTTTTCTCTCCATGTTACACAGCACAGTACATTCAATTCTGCCCCTTGCTTTTTTTCTCTTGACAGTTTCTCTTGGTATCTTTCGTACTAGTAATAACAGAGAGGCTTTTTTATTCCTTTTTATAGCTGCATATTGTGTGATGTGCCTTTTTTAAAAATCAGTATTATACTGACAAGAATTTAGGTTGTTTCCAATCCTTTACTATTACAAAATAACCTTGTACAAATACCTAATATTCTCTCCTCAATGTAAGAATTAACAACTTAGCCAGGTATGATTAAAATTGTCTCTGTTCTGGATACCTGTCTTAATTGTCCAAAATTATGCTTATTCAAGCTCTTCTGCTAGGATGTCCTTTATATAGGGCTCCTTTACTCCGTCTCTGCTTATGAATTATCCAAAGGCAAGTACAATGTCATATCATTTGTAAAGCTTTCATTATAGTTCTATGAAAATAAAACTTTTTCATGAAAGGTTACTGCATTATTTACCCTTCGGTTCCACAAACATTCTGCTGTTACTGGAAACAATGTGCTTTTACTGGAGAAACTACTAACCTCTGGTGGAAGGGGAAATTTTCTGTTTGACATCCTAGCAGAAATGGAGGGTCCACCTTTCCTTTTCTGCTCCATAAATCCCATCCCATCCCAAGGACCTTCCCATGAAGCCGTCCTTGAAATACCACTAACCAACTTTTCCACTACTGCAGAGGCCCTAAAACGTTACTGTTCTAAGTATGTCACATCGACAATCACTAAAACATACAACCGTGGGGCCTTCGCAATTGCTGTTCCCTCTACCTGGAATGCCATTACCCTTGATAAACATTTTGTTTGTTTCCCTGCTTCCTCAAGCAGTCTATTCAAATACTAACTCTTCCCAAGAGTTCCTGCCCTCTCCAACCTCTAGCTCCCCATCTCACTCACTATACTTTGGCTTCATATCACCACTACCTGATTTATGTAGACGTTTCTGTCTCTCCTCAAACTTTAAATTCCACGAAGGTAGAGTCTTGTTTTATTTGGTGCTGTATCTTATCTGTAGAACCTAGCTAGCACTTGGAA